AAAAGAAGTTCCATGGAGTCAAGTTGTGCGAACTAGACAAGTTGGAGAAACTATATGAAGTCAATATTCAAGTGTACAGTCTTTCGCCCACACAAACCTACAGTGAAGACGAGGACGATCAAGAAAATACTCCCGAGATTGCTGCTACACTCCTCCGCGGCTCACATCGCCATTTTCAAGCACTCTCTACTTTAACTTATACGAAAACCATTTCTCGTATATCAAAGATCTCTCCCGGTACTCCAAATCCTTCTGCTGTTCTCGTTGTGGTAAATACTGCAAGAAATCGGCCAGATTGGATAGACACGAAAAGACCTGTGACGGCAAAGTCCAGCTGAAACATCCTGGCGGCGCGTACCATGTACCAAAGACTGTCTTTGAGCAACTACAATCATGGACAAAAGTCCTTGGGACAGTCAGAACGTAACTTCAATTCTATGCGAATCACAAGTTCAGTCTTTTTACAAATCCATGTGCCCTCCCCCCTCCCCACCCAATACAATGTTGAAAGATCAAAGGAATTGTGCCTTGACGGTTTTAACACTGTCTTTGGCGTGGGGGAGGGGGTAGGGACGTACAGTGCTAGTAGCGCGCGGGTACAATTTCGCGTGTGTTAAAAAGCGTTCGAACTGTAAAACTGTCCCAAGACTTTTGTCCATGATTGTCTGAATTTGTTGCTCAACCAAAAACGCAGTTTTTACTGTGTTTGAAAAGGGAAAATATGTGTTTTGGGGGGTTTTCAAGTGAGTTATCATACGAGGAGCAGGTTTGGAAGATGTCCGGTGTTTTATAACGGACTTTTCGTCGGAGTCTGAAAGCGACTATTTTAAACTCGTCATAACGTAAAACCTGCTTTGTTGCATAGTCGCGTTTCCAATATTTCAAAGAATAAAGGGGATTAACGGTTACGCGGTTACAGGAGCAAACGGTTTCACAGTTCGTAATGGTGTATACCGGAAAAATTTCCGCCAATCAACGGGTTAGGGTTTGGTTTCTTACAGAAAACACGGGGCTATCGCTCGGCGAAATTGCACGGAAACGTGAAATCTCAAAGTCGTCTGTAGCACGGATGTGCGATAGAACCAGCGACCAGCGTTCACAAGTGGAAAAAGCTACATGCAAAAGCGGTAGGCCGAGAAAAATCGGTGAGCGAGATGGTCGTGCTCTCATTCGAGGATTACAAAGACTAAGACTCAGAGGTGGGGACGTTACAGTAAAAACAGTGGTTCAAGAAAGCGGCTTCTCCTTTCAACAGGCCCATTGTCGAACGTTTTCTCGCTGTCTGAACGACAAAGGATACGGTTATATGATTGCAAGGAGAAAAGGAATTGTTTCAGAAAAAGACCGAAGGAAACGTCTTCAGTACGCCCGAAAAATGAAACACGAACTTTCAAGAAATCCAGACTTCTTCAAACATGACATTGCTTTTTGTTTAGATGGTGTTTCTTTCGTTCACAAGCACAATCCCCTTCAGGCAGCGGCCGTAACAAAAAGCCGAATATTGAGGAAGAAAAACGAAGGTCTACAATTTACCGCGAAAGGCAGAAAAGACTTGGCTGGTGGACCTCGGTTGCATTTAATAGTATCAACCGCTTACGGGAAAGGTGTGATTCTAAAGGAAGTGTATGAAAAAATGGACGGACAGTTTTTCGCGCAGTTTATTCGGACACATTTCAATTTCACCTTTGCGCGATCTGGACCAAAACGGCACGGGAAACGGCTCTTTATCAGGGACAATGACTCCAGCCAACGAAGTAAGGTAGCTAAAAGGGCTTTTCAGGACATTGAAGCCGAATTGCAAGAGATACCTCCGCGATCACCGGATATAAATGTTATTGAATCGATTTCCCACCTCTTACGAATGGACCTCGAGGAGGAAGCAGTTACTGAGAACATTACTTGTGAAACATTTGAGCAATTCAGAGACCGCGTTTTAAAGTCACTAGAAAGATTACCGAGAGACGTTATTGATCGCACTATCGAGAGCCTGAACGACAGGATTGATACCATAATTTCCTTAAGAGGGTCACGAACCAAATATTATAGGACTTTTAAGTAGTTTTTATTATTTCGTTACAACAGCATTGCATTGCGTGATATTGGAAACATCGTGCACGTGATTTAGTACATTGTATTTGCATAACTGATATGCCAACAGGAACATTACTCACCTTAAAAGCGTAAAATAGATGTACTTTTTTGCGTACAAAAGGAATTAAAAACACAACAAAGTGAAATGCATTTGCTCTTAGGTCTTTGTACACTATTTTTTTCTGTGAAATAGTACATGTTTACCCCGAAAAGAACAGCACTCACTTCCAAGAAAAAAAGTAAACAGTAGAAGTCTTCTTTCATTCACTGAATTAAGTGAGTACCGTTGTTTTTCCCCTTTAGGGTCGGTTTTCTGAGACAATTTACAAGTAATGAGATATATTACGCACTTCAATACGTGTTCGTTGCGTTTTACTTGAAAAGACTTCTGGAATTTGCGTAAAAAAAGGTGATTTCTCGATGAGTACTGTGCAATAAACAACCATCGCTGACGTCACCGCGTCTCGTTATTGACATAGCTTAAAATAAATCTGGCAAAACAGCGTTCACATGGAGCGAAGTCATCGACCGCCACGCCATACCGAAACTGAGACCATACGCGCTAAAACTCCTATAATCACATTGCGTAACAGAGAACATTTGTACAAGTGTTAAGTACCCTCAGCCGCCCACCCCCACTCCCCTACCCAAAAAATCTTTACACATGTCTATATCAACGAAGAAATTCACTTTATCTACTTAAAAATGCACAATGGAGCCCAAAAACAAGCCTACTACCCATTTTCTAAAATATTTAAAATTCAGACAATCATGGACAAAAGTCCTTGGGACAGTCAGAACGTAACTTCAATTCTATGCGAATCACAAGTTCTGTCGCAAAAAGTAGTGCTGTCTTTTTACAAATCCATGTGCTCTCCCCCCTCCCCACTTATTACAATGTTGAAAGATCAAAGGAATTGTGCCTTGACGGTTTCAACACTGTCTGTGGGGTGGGGGGAGGGGGTAGGGACGTACAGTGCTAGTAGCGCGCGGGTACAATTTCGCGTGTGTTAAAAAGCGTTCGAACTGTACAACTATCCCAAGACGTTTGTCCATGATTGTAGAAGAAGAGGGTTTTATCGTCCCTGAAGAAGCACGCTATTTTCCCTACAGAGCCACATTCGATTTTGAATGTTACTTCGATAAATAAAAAGCGCAAGAACTGAAAAACACAGACAAATTGAACTGGGAATCTGCCCATGTCCCGCTCAGTGTGAGTGTCTGCCGTAACGTCCCTGGTTACGAAACGCCTAAATGTTTCGTGCCTAACGGCGACCCAAGCGTGTTCATTACAGAATTTGTGCAGTACCTGATCTCCATCAGCACGAAAAGCTATTCTTTGTTGTGTGATCAGTTTGCACACGTCTTTGAAGCGCTTAAACAAGAATCTGTTCCTAGTCGTGGGGTCACAGAAGATGATCAACTCGCGCAAATACTCGTAGACATCCAGGAAGTAAATATAGAGTCTGGCGAAGATGAAAATAGTGAATAAGAGAGCGATGGTGACAGCAGAGGCATTGATTTTCTGGCAAGCGATGACGAAGAAGATGAAGACGAGATTGAATCGGAGAACGAAGAAGACCGCGCCTTTCTCGATAATGAGATACAAGAACAGGAAGACGTCTCCTTTTATAGAAGATTTCATGTAGAACTCGATAGAGGCCTAAGACAGGAACAAAGTCAACAGCAGCAAGAACTGGCCATGTATAAAGACGTGTTGTTTGGACAAGAACAAACCAGTGACAACAAAGTCTTGAACGAGCTGGCTGAAAAACTAACAGAGTACCTCAGAGAACTTCCAGTCTTGGGCTTTAATTCTGGCAAGTACGATCTCAACGCTGTGGAAAAAATTCTTTTCCTATACCTGATAGAACATCACCCCATCAAGTTCACTGTCAAAAGAAACAACAACCATATGTGTCTCAAGACAGATTTTCTCAAGCTTCTGGACATTTCGAACTATCTTGCGCCAGGATTCAGCTATGACCAGTTTCTAAGAGGGTATGAATGCAAGCATACCAAAGGTTTCTTCCCGTACGAGTGGGTCGATTGGTTAGATAAGCTGGACGAGACATCACTACCCCCTCATGCTGCCTTCTATTCATCTCTGAAAAACACCAACATAACAGAACAAGAATACGAGTATTGCCAGCAAGGGTGGGAAGAAAATAACATGCAGTCATTTGAAGATTTTTCTCGTGTGGTACAACAACCTGGATGTGGTGCCGTTTATAGAAGCGGTCGAGAAAATGAGTCAAATCTGTCGAGAAAGGAAGATCGATATGTTCAACGACGGGATTTCATTCCCTGGTCTCACCCTCAAGTACCTCTTCTCATACCTCTCACCTCAAACCTACTTTAGTCTCTTCGATCAAGCGAACAGCGATCTCCATCATCTCATTAAAGACAACAACACAGGCAACCCAAGTATCATTTTCCACCATTACCATCAAGCAGGCGAAACAAAGATCAGAGGAGCAGAGAATGGCCAGGCTGCTAAGCCGTGTCAAAAAATCGTCGGTTACGATATAAAAGCCTTGTATCTGGGCTCTGGTGCAAGACATGCCCACCGGCAGCTACACGCGACGCCTAGCAGAGAATGAGTTTAAACCCAAAAGTTCTGTACGCATGGCTATTGAATGGTTAGAATTTGTAGCACATAAAGAGGGAATTCACATCCGACATCAGTTAAACAGCACAGAAAAGCGCATCGGTGGTCATAAACTACCTGTAGACGGTTTCAACGCGCAAACGCAAGCTGTGTATCAATTCCACGGGGGTTATTGGCACTGCCATGACTGTTCGCTCAACCGCGAAAAAGAATTTAACGGCAAACGAAACAAACCCATGAGTGAGCTGTTGGAAGAAACCAGAGCCAACACCGAGTATATTCGCAGCAAAGGCTACCGTGTCGTAGAGATGTGGGAGTGTGACTGGCGGCAAATGAAGAGAACCAACCAAGAACTACAGCGTTTTATCGCCACGGAAGTCCGCAGAACCTTGGATACGATCAAGATTATGAGCCGGGGGCTAATTTTGAGCGAGGTGCGAAATGGGCGTTTGTTTGGGTGTGTGGAAGTAAATATTCGTGTGCCTCAGCATTTAAAGGAGAAGTTTAGTGAAATGTGCCCCATCTTCATTAACACAGAAATCAGCCGCGACGATAATGGAGACGTCATGCAAACTAATGCTGAGGAACACAACATCATGGCTCAGCCTCGGCGAAGCTTGATTGGGAGTATGAAAGGTGAAAAAATCTTGTTTGCCACAACCCTCCTCAAGTGGTACCTAGAACACGGCTTGGAGGTCACCAAAGTGCATCAAGTGGTCGAGTTCACCCGTGAGCCCTGTTTCAAATCTTTTGGGCATGCAGTGTCTGGGGATGCTGATCCTAGGAAGGCCATCATTGCAGATACCATGAAACTTGTAAGTTTTTGTTCCATTCTTTCAGTCATAAAGGGGTGGGAACAATCTCTCAGGTGGGCAATTCAGGCTATGGTAAGACAATCGCCAACCAATTGAAGCATATGAATGTGGAGTACTGCAGTGACGCTGAAGCTAGCAGGAAAGTGAACACCCACCCTTTCCGTAAACTAGAAAACATCACTGAAGATACTTATGAAGTGCTGTCTTGCAAAAAATCTATCAAAATAAATCTACCCTTTCAAGACGGCTTTTTCGTGTACCAATATGCCAAGTTACGCATGTTACAATTTTATTATGATTTTTTTGATAAATATTTAGATCGTGCAGATTTCCAAATGCGTGAAATGGACACGGATAGTGCGTATATCGCCATCTCAGGAGAAAGTGTGGAAAGTCTAGTGAAACCCGAATTAAGAGCTGAATTCGAACGCGATGTAAACAACTGGTTTCCCCGTACCGACACCGCGGAGCATAAGGCCTATGATAAGAGAAAGCCAGGGTTATTTAAAGTCGAGTGGGAAAGGCAAGGAATCGTGGGGTTGTATTCAAAAACCTACTACTGTTTTGGGGCGAAAGATAAGTTTAGTTGTAAAGGAATTGACAAGAAATGTAACGAGATTAACGCAGATAAATATTTAAATGTACTATTAACGAAACAAAATAGTGACGGGGTCAATCGGGGGTTCAGAACTGTAAATAATACTATGTTTACCTACACTCAAATGAGAGATGCATTCTCGTATTTTTACCCGAAACGTAAAGTTTTGGCTGATAGAGTCAGCACCACTCCACTTGACATTTAAGTATTGTATATACAGATTTTCTATAGATTGTAAATAGCCTTTTTTCGCTTTTTTTTTCATAAACTTAGCTTTTCACGGATGTTTGTAAATAAATCATTGGTTGAATTTAATCGTGGCTTGTTTCCTGACTCGACGCGCACGACTTACACTCGAGATCTCCCGCGCGCCCAGGGGAAAAACACAACGCTAAAATGTGGCGTTCTGGCGCTTTTGGCGTTCTTGACTGTCGTTTCGTGTTAAATTAACGATAAATTTAGTTTTGCAAACAGTTTTGTTCAGTTGGAATCAAACTTTCACAGAGATAACATGGCGCGGAGGATACCAGGTTGCGGGTCAAATTTTTCAGTTTGATTAGCAGATCATTTAACTCGGCTACATGAATTATCGGGGATAGAAAGAAAATATTGGCTACAGTTTGCTAAACTACAAAACACCAATGTGGTTCGTGTTTACGACGCTGAACCTAAAACATTTTTCTATAAATGAGAGTGCGCACAATTCAGTTAATCAGTTGTTATCATGGACCCGAGATGGAAACATCCTTTCCCCGCGCTTGTGGCTGGCCCAACATGTTATGGGAAAAGTCTGTTTGCAAAACGTTTACTTGAATCAGGAAAAGAAATGACTGATGGTGCCCCGGAAAATATCATCTGGTGTTATAGCACGTATCAACCAGTCTACGATGAGATGCTTAAAAACATTCCGAACATTATGTTCGTTGAAGGAGTGCCTGGTAATTTGTAGTGTTGTTCTAAATAAAAAATCAGGATTCAGTCCGTGCGATTCAAAGACTCTATTTTCAAAGACTTCAGATTTCTAAAGAATGTCATTTGTACATAGTTTGTAAATATAATAGGGTTTGATATGCTAAACATGGCTTGTTGTCTGTCTAGCCACGCGCGTTTCAATCACCCGCGTAAAGAAAAACCACAGTGCTAAACAAGGCCCCTATGGCCCCTCGTGGCCCCTGTGGCCCGTTCCGCCATTGAAAATCAACAATAAACTTCGTGTCATTTGCAGTTTTATTCAGTTTTTATTGAGTATCCGAGTTGACAGAGTTTGAACAAAAAAAATGCTTCAGTATGCAAAATTTCAAAATACCAATGCGATTCGTGTGTATGACAAGGAGGCTGGACCCAAAATATTTTTTTCTATAAATGAGAGAGCATGCATCTAGTGCATTGTTCTAAATAACATTCACTTCACAAAGACTAAAATAAACAGAGTTGTTGGACCTGCGATTAGCATACAATCTCACCAGCGGTGTGTTTTCTTTTCAAGGAAAAAAAAACAACTTGAAAGAGAAGTAAGTATCAGGAACACACCTTTTAATGATGACTTCAAAAGTGGTACGCCCCTGTTTACGGAAACACTTTCATTGGAATAAATTGACTGGCAATTAATTTTGAATTGAGTGATTCGTAAATAAAACACGTTAAGTCAAGTCATTCTCTGACTTGAAGCGCGAGTGTGTTCCCACGCGCAACTTCCACGCGTGATCTTTGTGCGTGTGTCTGAGAAAAAACACTAAAATTCTGCCCTTTCTGCCCTTGATGCCCTCGAAAATCAACGAAAAAATTAATGTTTAAAGATCCGTTCTAACGTTTGTAACCTCTACAGGAACATTTTTTAAGTCACTATTGCGCGAAACGTTCCGTTTGGTTGAAAACACGTTGGCTTCTTTCTGTAAACACCACACCACAACTAACAAAAGGACACACAGTCGGAGGTTCGTAATTAAGCTCGAAATACCTCCGTTCTCCATGATTGGTAAGTTGTAAACATGTTTGGGGTTAATTTACGGAATAGGCGAGACTTATTGTATTGGGGGGTAAGTTGTCACACTTTTATTTGGACTTCGACTACCTCTTTGTCTGGCTATCGGCGCTCAACATGATTAAGCAATAAATGATCAACAAAGTTTATAGGTAGACAAAAACGTTGTATTTCCTTTTTTTTAATTCACAGTGCATCAATTCTAACGGTAGGACATTTATTCTACTAATCAAAAAGTGTCCGATTCTCTATAATTCCATGCTCTCGCTGGAGTTTGGTCGCTTGGGATTCTTGACTTTCAGTGTTTTAAGGTCTCGTATTTTGCGTTTTCTCTTAATCTTTCGAATTCCGGTGAGCTGACTAGCCTCGCGGTTTCCAGGATCCTCTCGTCTCCACTGGTCAGAGTTTTTACCGTCCGTGGGTAAAACGGTGAATTTACTTCCACACCGAAATTGGAGCATTTTGATCAAGTTTGTTATTTGTATCCACACCACCTTGGCGAATGCTTCATCTTTTTGTTTCATCACGTTCTGTGAAAGCTCCAGGAGGAGACTTATCACCTTCCAGGCGATTTCAAATTCGCTTAAGTTCTCTCCGAAAAAGCAATGAAACATGATTGTTGAGCTTTGCTGGTGTATGAACGTTTTTAATCGTCTTAAGCTTTCTGTGATAATTCCGTTGTTCCGTTCAGGGGTTTGAAACAGGAAGCTTAATTTCCGATATTCTCTTTCAACATAAATATTCCACACTTTCCGAGGGTGTTTGGGGTTCCAATTGTAAACTTGCTAGCCATGTTGTTTTTGTTGAGGGTAAACGGAACTGACGGCCTGAGACTCGAACTGGAACAAGACTTCGCATAAAATAGCTTGCATGTAGTGTTCAGGTCTTGTTATAGACTCTGAACAATACATCTGGGACTATCCAATCAGAGTAGGTGTTGGGTATGACTTATTGTTTGTCAAACAAAAGGCACACAGGCAAATTTTAGAGCTCGAGTCAATCATTTGTTAAACTTAATTAGTGACCAACACGGTGTAAAGATGAATAAAACTTTAGAAATACATCCGATAAAACTGGCTATCCTTTGTCGCTGAACTTTTTCCACTTCGTCAATAGAGGTGAAGCGCTCGATTCGACTTTCATGTTTGGAGCAATGTTTTAAAGAGAATCGCACAATTAAGTGAAATCTCGCATTCTGATTGGTTAACGAAGCGACGTATTTAGTGTGGAATTGCGAGTTGAAAACGAGGCTAAGCGATATTGTTTCGCATCTACGTAACAACTATCGTCAAATTCTAACACAACAACATGCAAAAAAGGTTTTCTACAATGTCATTTTAAAATGTTTTCAAAACCATTCATTGTCACTTTTTGAAGAGTTAAAAACAAACAAAAGCGTTTTTTAAAGTGAGCCGGAGGTTCTTCCTTGTTTTGAACTGAACTACAGATTCTCGAAGAGACATAAAACCTCTTTCGCTCGCGACAACGAGAAAACAAGAAAATCCTGTGAACACGGCCCAGAAAATGGCAATTCAAAGTTCAACCAAACGAAACGGAGAAGCGACAACGGAGGAAGTGCCGGGGTCGATTGTCCCATATACAGAAGAAGACATAAATACCTTCAAAGAGGACATGGCCCCCGAAAACACGAAAAAGAGTACGCCGCTTGCAATCGTCCTGAATCGTGGTACTTAGAAAAGTACAAAACAGAGCTGAACTTGAACAGCATTTCTAAAACATTTCAAGGTACTTACCTTATGTCAATCGCGACGTTAAACATGTTAAACTTTCAGTGCTTTCGCTTGGACACTTGATTTCTTTCAGTTTTGCCGCCGAAGAGGTAAAAGGTGTAAATTATTTTCCTTCTCGAGCAAATGACCAATTTGAAAAAAGACGTTCTACCTAAACGGCTTCTAAATTCAGTAAAATACCTCTATTTATCCTTACGATTAGTGTGAAGCTTGTTTTCATGTAAAAAAGTTTGAAAACAAATGTAAAAACAAGCACAAGGTGCAAAAAAAGTTGTCGAAGGTTCAAACGTGTACGACTGACCTTGCTCCCTATTCGCTAACGCAATGACAGTTCTGACAGTTGACTTTGAAATGGCTTTCTGGAGCGCGCGCTCAGGATAAAAACAAACAATATTATTGCTGTTTTCTTTTTTTTTTCTTCTGATTTTTATTCAATTATGCGATTCAAGGAAAATTCATTACCTGACTCGAGAATTCCACGTTAAATTGCAATTGAAAACCGATATCGCACTCATCGCTTCGCGATCCGTGCGATATCGGTTTTCGAGTGCAATTTAACGTGGAATTCCCTCGTCAGGTAATGAATTTTCCTATAATATTGGTGATATTAAGACTTTTTTTCAGCAAAGCGATTGCAAGAACGATAGCGCTTTCGAAATCTAGCCGCTTTTATTTGGAAGATAGAATAGATTTTTCACTATCCAATCAGGGTTAAAAGGGTCCGGGCAACCATAGGCAAGCCTATTGTTTCTGTTGGAGTAGGGTGATTCTCATTAGTAAACCTATACCGAATTAGTATGCGGGAAGGCAATTATACATATTAAT